ATTCTCAGAGCAGGAAAAAAGTCTTTTGGAAAACCACAGGCATTTGGACCCCCACCTCCTGTTCTTGTGCTTCCTTTGTAGCGACCATTGAAGGCTCCTGCGCGTGCAACGGGAAGTATTGTAAGGACTCAGGACCATAGACAAAGAGCGCATTCTAAGTGAGAAACATCTTGCACATTGCACTGAAAAGGAACAAAAACAATCAAACACACATATATATATATACCTGCGAATATAGATTGCTAAAAGATTCACAGCTGTTTGATTGTGCCTGAACAACCTCCGCAGAGATGGATGCTTTGTTGTGATCCACACTTTGCTGAGGGTGCTCCTAAATGCTATGATTCTCAGAGCCAAGTAAAAAGTCTCTTGGCACACCACAGACATTTGGACCCCCACCTCCTCTTCTTGTGCTTCCTCTGTAGCGACCATTGAAGGCTCCTGCGCGTGCAACGGGAAATAGAGTAAGGACTCAGGACCATAGACAAAGAGCGCATTCTAAGTGAGAAACATCTTGCAAATTGCACTGAAAAGGAACAAAAACAATCAAACACACACACATATATATATATAATATAAATACCTGCAAATATAGATTGCTAAAAGATTCACAGCTGTTTGATGGTGCCTGAACAACCTCCACAGGGACGGATGCTTTGCTTTGCTGAGGGTGCTCCTAAATGCTATGATTCTCAGAGCCAGGAAAAAAGTCTTTTGGCACACCACAGACATTTGGACCCCCACCTCCTGTTCTTGTGCCTCCTTTGTAGCGACCATTGAAGGCTCCTGCGCGTGCAACGGGAAGTAAAATACAGAAGGTCTCAGGACAATGGACGGAGTGCGCATTCTAAGTGAGAAACATCCTGCATATTGCATCAAAGCACATGAACAAAAAAGTTCATTGCATACATATTATATATATATATTCTGTATACAAATATATGTATATACTGTAGATTGCAAAAAGATTCACTGCTGTTTGATTGTGCCTGAACAACCTCCGCAGGGACGGATGCTTTGCTGTGATCCACGCTTTGAGGGTGCTCCTAAATGCTATGATTCTCAGAGCCAAGTAAAAAGTCTTTTGGCACACACCACAGACATTTGGACCCCCACCTCCTGTTCTTGTGCTTCATTTGTAGCGACCATTGAAGGCTCCTGCGCGTGCAACGGGAAGTAGAGTAAGGACTCAGGACCATAGACAAAGAGCGCATTCTAAGTGAGAAACATCTTGCAAATTGCACTGAAAAGGAACAAAAACAATCAAACACACATATATATATATACCTGCGAATATAGATTGCTAAAAGATTCACAGCTGTCTGATTGTGCTTGAACAACCTCCGCAGGGATGGATGCTTTGTTGTGATCCAAACTTTG